TTTTTTTTCTCTAGTTATTATTAAGATTATATCTACTAATTATTTTTATATAAAAGTAGAATTTTTGATAAAATAATTTATCATAATTATAAACAACTTCAAAATTAAAAATGCCTTCTCATATCTCGCTTCTTGTTTTATCACTAGTACAGAAAATAATCATCTATGCTCATATGGTTTTGCAAAATATAAACCTTCTAAAGAAACATCTCAAACTATTAGATGGAAGTATTTCTTTCATGCTGATGAAAAATCTCGAATTTTTATGGCTGGTGATATTATGTTTATTTCAGGAAAATATATAGTAGAAAATTCTGAACAATGTATTACTGTTGCATATGCAAGCGTTCTTTGCTCAGAAAATTCTACTCATAAATTTATATTGCTTTGTGTGCACCTCATTGTATGTTCTCTGTTGTAGCCAACCGTAAGCCAAAAGAAACTGAAGGAATTATTCATTTTGGTATGGAATGTACTGAGTATAATTCTGTTACCAGTATACGTAATGTTAATATGCAGATAATAGTTTTTTATCTCTCACATTCTATGAGATTTCAAAAATATTTAGGACCATTAGGTCCAAATATTAAAATAGGTGGCACCTATCTCATATCTGGTTTCTTTAAATTTTCCCAATCTGGAAAATTAATGATCGAGGCAACTGAAATCGAATATTTAAAAATTACACAGTTAAATTATAATATACCTGAAAGTTCTTCATCATCAGTATCTAATACCCGATCAATTATTGATATTATTGCTGATGATATAGACTCTATTACTACCGAAATACCACCAAAACATGCTGAATTCACAACTTTTTCTGTTAAACATAATACTACTAGCATTGATACTAATACAGAAATTAATTTGCATTATGGAAGTAATCAAAACTACGCTGATTTGGATGCTCAAATTGAGGAAAAAGAAAAGCATAATATTAATGAAAACATTGCAGACAATATAAAGATAAAAGTTTTCAAAATGTGGATGAAGGTCAAGAAGAGAACTATCAGTCTAAGAAACATAAAAAAAAGTGCTAGAATAATTGCAAAAAAATAAAAAATTCAAGAAATAGATGCAATAAAAGTTTATCAAATATCTTAACTGTAGTATATTACAAAATAGTTAAGTTTAAAGCTAAAATATGTTAAATTCATATATCGATTTTTTTTCTATAAATATTTGTTCATAAATATGTAAGTTTTTTGTTATGCAATTTAAAATAGCTATATTATATATAATGCTATACTAGATCCTTATTAGTTTAATAAGTATGATGCTGATATAAATATAATAACCAATTATAGCTATGTTTTAGATTATTGATTATTGATTTTTATCCCTAATTATAGCTAACATATCTATTTTGTTTATACTACTATATGTATATGAATAAAGAAAAGATATTATATAATAATTGTCAAAAATTGTGAAAATCAAATTGATTATTTTGTATTTAAATAATTAAAAAATTTTATAACATAGTCAGTCCAGTGAGCTAGCCTAAGTAATTTTGGTAACTAGACACTTAGTATTAATTTATATCACTATATAGAAATATAATTAAATGATTAGTTTAGACATAAATCTAAAACAATAAGTAACGAACAGGAGGAAACATACCTGATTCAAACTTAATCCCACCCCTTGTGTATAGCACATAAAAAAATTATTTTACAATAGTGGATCATTTAACTACAAATATTACAATATAATCCCTCACAGTTTGGACCGGGTTTATGTTCTCCTGTTAAGTAATACCAATAGAATTCTTTAAGCTTTTTTATATATTTAGAATGTTCTTAAGCATTTTTTCAATGAATTTGATAATATATTTGGATGCCCAATTAAATCTGACCACCATCAGATTCTTTGTTAAATTCATTGAAGTAGATGCTTAAGAACGTTATTCATTACTTAATATTTGTATTATAAATCAAAAACTTTCGCTATTATTATATATATATTAGTTTAAAAAAGCTATTATAAGCCAATTTACTAAAATTTATTTTATAATATGCTAACTAATTATATTAAATCATTAAGGACAATTTATAGTTATTTCACAAAAATTACGACTGTACTATATCAAAGTTGATAATAAATTCAATAAAGTTTATTAGATCTTCGAATAAAGTACAATAGGCTACTATTTATTAGATTAATTTATGACTCTATTAATTCTATTAAATACCGTTAGTAACTCTGCCTATATATAATTTTGCATAAATAAAAATAAAATAATTTCATTCAAGCTAATTGCTAATTTTAATTTATAATTTGTACTATTATATTAAGGCATTTCTAAGCATCTACCTCAATGGATCCAACAATAAATCTGATTGGTCCATTTGATCAAACTAACCGATCAAATTATACAATTTTTTTGAGAACATTCTAAGTCAGATTTTTTATTATAATGCTATTCATTTCACTAACAGCTATTTTACCAAATATAGGGTTAAGTTTAGTATTTGATTTAGTTGCAGATATATAGTCGTCACTAAGCATGATTTTATCTATATAAGTTGTTAGTAAAATAATTCTTAGTAAAGTAAGATAGATTCTAGTATACATTAATGTAAATAATACAAATTTAAATATTGTAAGATGAAATTAAGTAATTAGCTTGAGTAAAATAACTTAATTTATTATTTATGCTTTACACATATACGTACTATTTTAAAATAAGGAACCAATAATCAGTGTTAGCACTTTTTTGTGGCTAAACAATTTTTTGGCTCCTGGCTAGCCAAAATAGGCAATAGCAAATAGCAACAGGAAAAAGCATACTCGATCTAAACTGTGAGCGATTATATTTGTAACATTGGTGTTTAACTGGCTCATCATTGTGAAATAATTTTTTTATGCGCTGTACACCAAATGTGGGATTAAGTTTGAATTAGGCACGTTTCCTTCTGTTGCAAAACAGGTGGAATCGTACCTAATCCAAACTTAATCCCATATTTGGTGTGCAGTGTATAAAAAAATTATTTTACAACAATGGGCCAGTTAATCACCAATGTTACAAATATAATTGCTCACAGTTTAAATCAGGTACGTTTCTTCCTGTTCTGTTGCAAATGGCCAATAACCAAACTTTGGTCAAAAGCTCCTAACTTACTAATTATATTGCTAGTAGTTTAATATGAATATTTGGCCATTTTAGATAAATAAATTTTTTTGTACAATTTGGCCATTGGCGGGCCAAATGACTAAGTAACAACATTGCCAATAATCAACAATTTTACTTACAACTTATTAATAAAACATTACGCTAAGTGACAATTTACCAAAACTATATATCTACAAGTAATATACAGTCGATACTGTCTAATTGCATATATAACTGCATAAAAATTTTAGTTTTTAACTATTAACACAAAAATGGTTCTTATAACTTAAATGTATATACTGTTTATAGCATGAAAAAGTCTCTGACGGATGGCATGCAATTAGACAGTATTGACTGTAATACTAAATTTAACTCTATAT